GGACGAGGTCCGGGTCGGAGCGGATGTACCAGAAATTGAGGCGGGTGTGGGTCCGGGGCAGCCCGCAAATGACCGGAATGGGAAGGTGTTTGGGGAAGAGGAAGGCGGTGGGATGCACATTGTGGGAATGCATGCGCACGCGGCGCACCATAGACACAGCCACCAGCATGGGCAGGCCGCGTGTGACGGCCACGTGGCGCTGGAACCCGAACTTGAATACGGGCACGATCACGGGCACGGGCATTCTCACGGGTTCGGTGATGCTGACGAGGATAGTGGTGCTCGGCACGTCGTCGTTTCTCAGGTACTTTCCTTTTATTTACCGCCAAAGACTCCTTTGTAATTTGCCGTTCTGTACGTCGTTGTCTGCGCGTTAATTATTGCTATTAAAGTGCGGCCCAGAAAAGAATGCGTCTTTTTTGGGCTTTTTGGTTGTGGAGTTTTCTTAGCATACTTTGGGCAGTAGGTAAAAAGTGTGTGTCATGTTGCCACGTGTCAGGTTAATTTACCCTAGAGCCTACTAATCTTCGTCGAGTGGCGCCCACTCATGATCAAATTCCTTTTTTTTTTTTCTTTTTTTTTTGGGTTTGGTGGCGAAACATCATATTCCATTCTTGGATGGTCAATATATAATAGGTTGGGTGATAGGGACGGACACATTTTCTTGGCCAACTAATGTAACGAACATTTGTGTTTTAGTCTTATATGTCACCAAACTTAAGAAGACTCAAGAGGGAAAAAAAAGGAGTTAAAAATAAAAACTAATCTCGAATTTAAATGTTAGGCTCGTTAAAATTTAAAAACACATTAAACTTTTCCATGCAGATGCCAATGCCATCCTCTTGGAAGGGCCTGGTCAGTCCAGATTGGACTTATTTCTTAAAAAAAAATTCTCTGTTTTTTCACATAGCACGTGGTAAGCTGAGATGGAAAAAATTTATGAGCCAGAGTGGGGATTGTTCTGTCCTAAAGTACGAAAGTAATGAGCCCAAATTTTTAGTTTGCTGGTATACTGATTATTTTGGCTTTTTTTTTTGTGTGTGTGTGCAGATTTTGGAACTTGGGATTGTATCACATTCTGTCATCATCGGCCTATCTCTGGGAGTTTCACAGAGCACATGCACCATAAGACCCTTAATTGCAGCACTCTCCTTCCACCAGTTCTTTGAAGGCTTTGCACTTGGAGGCTGCATATCTCAAGCCCAGATCAAGACCCTCTCAGCAACTCTCATGGCCTGTTTTTTTGCCATCACAACTCCCCTCGGGATCGGCGTTGGGACGGCCATTTCTTCATTTTACAACCCATACAGCACAGGAGCTTTGATAACTGAAGGCATCTTGGATTCCCTGTCTGCTGGCATTCTGGTGTACATGGCCTTGGTGGACCTCATTGCTGCTGATTTCTTGAGTAAGAGGATGAGCTGCAATTTTAGGCTCCAAGTTGTATCTTATTGCTGTCTCTTTGTTGGAGCTGGATTGATGTCCTTGCTTGCGATTTGGGCTTGATTTTCTTTCCCCCTTTTCTATTTTTCTCGTGTTTATGTTCAATGTTTAGTATTACTAGTAACAAGGGAAAATCAAATTCTTTCCGCTTGGTTGCTAAGAGAGTAGTTGACAAGTTGTAGTCTTTTAGATTGGGATGCCTCCAATATATTTTATAAAATCTCCAACACCCTTTTCACCCATTTCTTTGCTGAAAGACAAGGAAACAAAACAATGTGGCTGTGATGATCTGATGCAAAACCTAAAAAATACCTTGTGTTCACTCAACTTTCAATATGAATTGTCTCACAAATCTAAATATATTCTTGAACCAAAAACTGATTAGAGGTAAAAATACAAAACCTAAAACTGATTAGAGTTAACAATGCAAAACCCAAAACTGATTAGAGTTAATAATGATAAACCCAAAACTGATTAGGAAGAAAAATTATTATTATTTTTTAAAACTCAAAAAATAAAGAAAGCGAAGTGAAACTGAAAGGGACAAGTAGAATGGTACCTTCCAACCTCTTTAAGCTCTCTATCTCCACCCAAAGCAAAGCTTCAGACTTTGCATTTGAGTAGATGAGATCATGAGAGACTTGAGTGTCACTCTTTCTCTTCGTCCCTGACCCTGAGATCTAGCTCACTGCACAGTCTGAGGAGAGAGAGAGAGATAGACTGGTATAACATTCCAACTTTCACTCCATAATTTCACCAAAATGCCACTCTTTTTCCACCGCCAATCTTCTCTCACAACCAGCACCGCCACCTCCCCCTCTTACTCTTCCAAGCTCCTCAAGCCCCTAAAACCCAATTCTGCCCCTGTCCCCACCCGCACTCCCCTGCCCATTATCGTCTTTTCGCTCGTCTCCCTCTTCATCGGCCTCGCCGGAACCATCTTCGCCATCACCGCCCTCCGTCGCCCAACGCCCATTCCCGTTTTCCGATGCGGCAAATCGGAAGACACCTTCCGGGCATTCTACTCTCTTTCGACCTCTCGGCAGCTCGGTGATAAGAATGGTGGCTTGGTTGATCGGCCTAAGCTTCTTGGGTTCGTCGGAATTCAGACCGGGTTCGGCTCAGCTGATCGCCGTGCGGCTTTGCGGAGCACGTGGTTTCCTTCTGACCCAGATGGCCTTTTGAGGTAAATTTCTGTTTTTGTGCAGTAAAGTTCCTAAATTCTTATATCTGATGTTGGTTTTGATCATATTGTCTTTGTATATTGTTATACAATGCACTTGTTTGATATCACTTCTGGGTTTGCCTAACATGATGAGTTGCAGATGTTGATCTTTGTTCGCTTAGCTATGATGTTTATCAGCTCAGCTTGATTAAGATCAACAATCTGGCTTTGATGAAAATGCCCTGTTGTTCTTTTTGTTGGGGTTTTAATAGTTTTTTTTTCCTACCATTCTCTTGTAGATTGGAACAAGCTACTGGTTTAGCTTTTAGGTTTGTTATTGGGAGATCTAAAGATGCAAAGAAGATGGCGGGGGTTCAGAAAGAGATAGATAAGTACAGAGATTTTCTGATTATTGATGTCAATGAAGAGTATTTGAACCTTCCATGGAAAACGTAAGAGTCATCGGTTTTTATTGAACTATTTGTCATGTTGATGGCTTTATGTTCTTGGCAGTTGATGTCATATTGGTTTCTCACGCTATTTTGTAGGTTGGCATTTTTCAAAGCAGCATTTCAACTTTTCGAAGCAGATTACTATGTCAAAGCAGATGACGACATTTATTTGCGTCCAGGTATACTGTAATGCCAGACTATATGCTTTCGTTAATCTGTGAATATGAGTACATTAGATTTAGTGATATTTTCTTAATTTGTCAGATCGACTAGCAACACTTCTAGCCAAGGAGCGAACACATTCACAAACCTACATTGGATGCATGAAGAAAGGACCAGTAATCACTGACCCTAAAATGAAATGGTATATTTGTTTTCAAATTGTAATCAGAGCTTTTACCTTTGTGATCAATTTATTCTTTTTTTCTGATCATCCATCCATTAATTATTCAGGTATGAGAAATCAGGACATCTAATTGGGAATGAATACTTTCGGCATGCTTATGGTCCTATATATGTTCTGTCTGCAGAAGTGGTAGCATCATTGGCAATTGCTAGAAATAACAGGTCAGCCACCTGTTCTGTATTTGATTTCTTTATGTTAGTCATTGTTTCTTTCAATTATGACTTTTGCCAATATATTTAATTTTTTGAACCTCCAATTGTGTGAAACAAGACTCAGGCTTTAGTTTTTGTAAAATATGAATCTATCTTGCTCCTTCAATCCACTTTGTTCTGTTATCTTCGTTGTTCTGTTTTATCATATTCATGTAAAGGCTTTGCTATCTACAGAATTTTTCTTGAAAAAATTTGGGCTTCTCATTTGGAGAGGTTCTTAAGCTGTTATTTCACTTCCTATAGATGTCCCTTTGCTTGATAGGTGTATTTTCTATTTTTCAGTTTGAGAATGTTTAGCAATGAGGACGTTACGATTGGGTCGTGGATGCTTGCTATGAATGTCAACCATGAGGATAATCGGGCATTATGTGACCCTCGTTGCACACCTACATCCATCGCAGTGTGGGACATCCCAAAATGTTCAGGTACTTTATCCAAAACATAATATTGTTACATGATTACATTATCTGTCACAATATAGTTGTGAAGAAAATTCCTGGTTGGTTATATACTGCACATTTGAAAGACCATTGATTTATTTGTGGTATTGTAATGTAGATTTGCGAAGGCTTATATTATCTTTTAAATGACAATCTGGTGCAATATTTCTTTTTATGCTAGTTTTTGATAAGACCATATTCTTATGTTCTGGTCTGTGATCTGCATATCAATACGACATGTACGAAAATTATTGGTTGAGTTCAAGAATAAAAGCACTTTCAAGCTAGGCAAGGATGACCCTTCTTTTTATGGAATAGTCCATACTCTTTGGCATTGCATTTGTCGAGTCATAGATTAGTTTAATACTTTAACCCTGAACAACGTATGACTTGATCTGTGTAGATGCTCTTCAAAGAGGATCATTAGTCAGTATCTTCCTTTCAAATAAAATATACCTAGATCACTTGATCTGACCTGGTCTGTATGATAAGTAACACCAGAACTTGAATTGTGGACATAGAAAATAAAAAGCACCGGATGTCTTATTTGCAAAGAATGTGATTGTTTAAAATAATAACGTTCCCGATAGTTTTGAACAGATCATTTTCAACTATAGCTTCTTGTACTGGCGTTATTTATAAGAGGCAATGTTTTAAAAAGGGTGATTATCTGTAAGATGCTCTGATGTGAGAAACTCTTGAAAACTTTTAGGTTTGTGCAACCCAGCTAGTAGGCTGAAAGAGCTTCATGCAATGAGTATGTGCTCCAAAAGTCCAACTCTTCGTCCCGGTGACAGATAGTGAGCTATCGCATACAATGCAACTCCAAATGCCAGTAATGCAGGAAGATCAGCTGGTTCAGTTAAACAATATCTTGTTTCTTGAAAGAGAAGAAGCATTCTTCTGAAGCCTCCAATGAAGTACTTGCTCTCAACGTCATTTATCCATTCATCGGTTCTTGCTGTACAATGAATGTATTATAAACTGAGATTTTTCCAGAGTCTCCATCTTAGGCAATCGTCCTTGCCAGTGAGTATGTACAATACCAGTAATACAAGAATACAATGAATATACGGTACCAGTATTAGTGCAAAAGACATGGATTAATTTGAAGACTGATAGGTAATTACAGTGTATCTTAGCCTAATTACAGTGTATTTTTTTATTGTGATGTTATGTGAATGAAGTTACCATTTTAACAATTTATCTCCAAACCAAAAAGTTACTGCTCTGCTCAAACAACAAACACACTGGCACTTGCTGTATTTATCAAACCATGACCCCTAATCCAGCTTCTTTAAAAAGACAATAACTTGACTTGCTCCTGGTAATGCACAGCTGTGTGTGGGAGGCAATCTCGTCCATGTCGGCAAAGTTGCGTTTGCCGAGGCTGTCTTGTCCTTTAAATATGAGATCCACCATCAGTGTTCCAAGTCGGACAAATACCTCCAATACTGACCGTCGGATCCGCTTACAAATAGGTCAACGAGACAGTCAACGGTCGTAAGCATGAGCAGCGATACAGCTGAGCAGCACAGAAACACGAGCCATCTTGCTAAATCTGACTACACGGGCAGCACTTTTGGCTGTACTAATCGTCAGCTTTGATTCCTCGGTTTCAGTTACCACTTCGCTACGACATAAATATTCCTACGTCATCACCCCTGTCCCATCCATCCTACGTGGCACAACATACCAGCGTGGCGCCTACTTTTCAACCCCTTTTATATCCACTTGTCTCTTCCCTCCTTCACACACACACACACACACACACACACACACACACACACTCACTCCCCTGTCGTCTCCTCTGCAGTCCGCTGCTCTGTTTTCACTCTCGTCGGAGTCAGAGAGCATGGAAGCTGGCCCAAAGTCTCCTTCGCTGGAAACTTCCATCTCCGATGAAATGGCCGGAAACTTCCCGGAGCTCATCGACCAACTCTCGCCGGACATGCCCATCGAAGAAGAGTTGATAGAGGAGGTCATGCAAGAGCTCTACAAGGAGATAACACCAACTCCAGCGACGAACACTACCAAGCCGTCGTCACCGGCGGCAGGTTTTCCGACGCCGTTGCTGGTGGTGGGGAACGGGAAGAGCGAGAGCTGCGGGGCGTCGGTTTCCGACTCGGCGTCGACGGTGATGGCCGGCATCAAGTTCGTGGATCCCACCGGGAATAATGGGGGGTTTTCGCCTGAGAATGGGGTTGGGGCGTGGAGTGAATGCGGTGGTAATACTAATAATGGGTTGGTAGTTGGGAAGGGAGTGATGGACCGCTGCGATGCAGGGGAGGCTGTTGATGATGAATGGTTTGAGAGAGTGATGAATACGTGGGCCCCAGTGGATCTTGATCCATGGTTCTGATGATCAATGATGTCTGATTTTGTTGTAGGTGTCCGTACATATGATCAAATAGTTAAAAAAAGGAAGAAAGAAGAGGAGGTGCTTTAGGTGTAGGAAGGAAGAAGCTTCAAGACTCCTGTTTTTCATGGGTGATATGAATATTGTGGGTGAAATTATGAATCTGATGTCTAAACCCCAACTTTAATTTATTTTATTTTCTTTTCTTTCCTCTCTTGCTGGTCTTGGTATCATCCTCTTCTTCTAGTGTTCATGAAATGTGCAGCCAAAAGAGCACACCCCATCATCATTTTAATCACACCCTCCACTGCTTTAATTTTGCTTTTGTGTAATTAAGCAAGTGGCTTCAGAAATTATAACCCATCACTATGTTATTTTCATGGGATTGATCAATCCTGCATGCTGTTTAATGGGTTGGCAAAGTTCAGCTCAACATTACACTCATCTGGGTAAAAGTAAAAACAAAAAAGTATTGAAAACTAGTTTATAGCTAGGGGGTAGATGAACTGAAATGACAATTCTTGTTGGTAAAATTGAAAGCCATTTACTTCTTCATCTGATGAAGCCAATTGTTTGCAGAATCTGCACTAGTTGTAAGCCAAAAACAGAGATGAAAACAAAAGTAATTTATTAAGTGCTCATAAAAAAAGCAGTCTCTCTACCATGATATTGGTAGCTTCTTTTAAATTCATGTTGACGGGACAAGTACATAGCCACCTAATTGCTGCCAAAGATGTGTCCACAAACATAAATTGCAAGATACATAAACCTCTGAATTTACTCTGTTTCTGCACCATCAAAATGAATCCAATGAAGCTAGCCACAGCCACCCAGTTTGGCTTTCTTAGGCTTTTGGTGCTGCAGTCTTCGAACAAGAGAATCTTTGCTACTTCTGTCCATTTTCTTTTTTCTCATGCATGCATGCCAGAGTGTCTTTACAAGGTATGTGGGTGCTTTGAGTGCTTTTCAAGAATTGGAACTTGGACCACAGTCCAATTGACCATCTCTGAAATTTAATTTTTAAACAAGGGGCATTGAGTTTGAATTTTTGTATCAGCAAGTGTTCTGTTTTAAGATTTTGTTAGTGTGAGAATAAGAACTCTGTTTGAAGTTGAATCAGAAACTGATGAAATATTTGGTCATTTTCTGCTCCGACTGCAGACTACAGTACCTTCATGTGTACCACTTGGGTCAATTTCTTCACTCTGAAAAACTGAACCAAGCTACCCTCCAAAATAATTTAATATCTCTTCCATGATCCCATTTGGATAAGAGATTTTTAGTAAACTTCCACTATAAGTTTTAGATTTTAATCTCCAGGCTGGTTAAAAAAAAAAACACTAATTATGCCTTGGTCTTGAAGGCATCAATTTAATGCCTTTTGTCTTGTGAGAAAATTTTAAATGTAATTAGTTGTACACAACCAATCACGACGAAGTCTTTCTTATTAGAAGACCTTACACTTAGGTGTAACACTGCTTGAACCATCAATTACTTGACTTTTTTTATAAAATTTTTGTCACTTTTTCTCTGAGCCTTGTGATGTAAAATTCTGGAAATGTAGAGAAAGCTTTGGCAATTACCAAAAGCACCTTATTTGGTTGGTCCAGAGTCTAAGACTCTCTAGAGCCAGTGGTCACTCTCTGTTTTAGGTCCAGGACCATCATCTTCACTGGTTTCTAGTTTTAGGTTCGTAGGGTTGAAGAGGGAGGGTCCTATAATAAGAAAGCATTTGTCTTAGGGCCACAGAGGCCTAGACCAGAGTTGGTCTCACCATGCATTTTTTTCCTTCTTCTTTTTTCTTGGGTAATTAATTTTTTTTTCCATGTTTAGATCTCAAGAGTAAAGAATTTAAAGAAGCAACTGCCATGCTCACCAGTAACCATTATGGTTCTTGATCGTGGTAATCATGCCAGATCATTCCGTACTATTTATCATTATGGTTCAAGCTTCAACTCATTCCTCAACTCGAGAACATTTCTTTCTTTATTTGTGAATCATCTTATGGTTCCTGGGCTTGAGAGTCCAGATTTCCAAGCCCAAAATTTTCTCATAGCCCAATTCTTTTTTAGGCTCTGAGGCCGATTCTGAAAAGATCTCATTGCACTTTACACTCAACCCATTTACAATTCCAAGTTGGTGTTTCCGAGGCAATAACTCAAGTGGTTAAGAACATTCGACATTAGACTTAAAGTTACATGTTGGATTCTTCTCTTTTGGAATATATGTACTATATGTAGTGTGAAAACACAAAATGAAGATTTAATTGATTTTCGTTGTTCATTTGTAAAGATAACGAAACATGAGGTTGGAGATGAATGTTTTGTTTTGTCCTTTGATCAGCTACTACCACCACCACACAGTTTAAGCCAACAAAGCGATGCCACCACCACAAACATCAAGGACGACAGACAAACTGTCATGTAGCTCAAAATCAAAATTTGGCCACTCAATTCGAAATTAAACCAAGATTTTGATAACTGCACGGTGGCACGAAATGATCCGGCAGATTTTGTTGCATGCTAAATATAACATTGAGTGAGCTACATGTTATATAGATGCAGCAATAGGGTGACAAAAATAATCCACCAATCAACTTCAAACATTCGTGCCCAGGACTTGCTCACACAACTCATCATACGTAGCATCCTTCTTCATCTCAAAAAAAAAAAAAAAAAAACCAAATTAAATGAAATTATATATGCACATTTACCTGGCCTTCAATCAATCTTTCTTGGTCGAGAGATATCTCTCTTCAGGTTGTCAACCTGTTGATTTTTCTTCAGGTTGTGCCAAACCCAAGTTAACATTTGTTTGTGATCATGGTCACTTATTGATGTTGATTAGGTATCTCAGAATCATGGTTTAGGATTCGAGTTAGAACTTTTTTTTGTCTTCGATCTTCTTAATGATATAAGATGGGATCAGATATTTCATGGGTTATGTGATTTGATCAAGTGGCTCAGATGCCTGCCACGCATGCAGCAATCGGTTTTCCCTTCTCCTGTGTTTTTTTCCTGTCTTTGTTAACTATGTATGCATTGTCCATATGTATAATTAATTAACCAAGTTAAATTTAACATATCTTCTGGATTTCCTGCATCTCTTATCCTGTGACCAAGATCTAGCTTGGCTTGGGGGGTAGTTTTTGTTTTTGTCCCTGTGTGTGGGTGTGGAGTTTTTTTTACTGCTTGCTAGTATTGGTGAACAAAATTTACTGGTTCATGCGTAAGCAAAAACAGAAAAGAGGGTTTCTCTTCCTGGAATATATTTTTAAACTGTAAAAAAGAAATTAATAAATAAGTAACATCAAGTGGTCAAGATAGCAAAGATTTTTGTCTGAAAATAAGAAGCAGACAAGAACATTAATGGAAAAATCCTGTGAGACTGCAAGAATGAGTATAAAAAACTAGCCTTCATCATTAACTGAAGCAGAGAGCATACAGGTCATGATATTTTGGCCACTCTCTTTGGGCATTCTAGATTAGGAAATTAGAAAAAGCCAGAAAGATAAGCAAAATGACGAGACTTGCATGCAAACAAATATATGAAAGGATAAAAAGTACGTAGATGGGAAAATTCATCTTTAATTATCTGAAGGGGAAGGCATGGTAAAAAAAAATAGAGAGATGAAAATATCAGAGCAAATCGAAGGCTGATGGCAAAAGGTGTGGGGGACTAAGAGGTCGTCACTGTCTCAAGCCTGTACCAGCATTTGATGACTTTTTGGCAACACTAAGGATGGGGGACGCCCTCCATCTGCTTAGGCTATCCAAATTCCATTCCATACCCATCTCTTCAGATATATATCTGCACTGATTTCTAGATTTCATTTTTCTCATCAATTTTTCTTTTAAAATCGTACTGCTCTATTTGGAAATGTTGGGACGTCCCACACCTCAAGAATATGTAGTGCATATGTAAACCCTTAAACCCTAAAATATGCACCACACCCACACACACACACTCACACAAAACAAATTATATGTATTTTAAATGATATATTCTATGGCCTGTTGTTGTACGTATTTGATGAAGTTTTTGAATTAACTAACATAAAAGTAATGATAGGGGGGTGTTAGTGTCGTGTGGGTAGAATTGTGAGTAGTAGCCTTCAACACCTCCTTTAAATTTGTCATTTTGTAGCAGCTCTTGTTTTGATAGCTGCTATCTGGACATAAAGTCACGTGAATGGCTTTTATTTTAGGGCTCTGTTCTTTTTTCTTCTTGCCCTTTTCTCTCTTATAAGAGTCCTCTGAGTATCAGGCCCTTTTGATCAGCCTTACCCTATCTCTCTCTCCTCCTTTGCTGGACACAACAGCACCCATTTAACCTATCTCTATATATCTCTCTCTCTCTCTCTCAAGATCTTTCTGTGATCTCTCTCTCTCTCTCTCTCCTCTCCATGATGACACCAGTGTATCTGAACCCAGCATCCTCTCCTTTCTCCATGGTGGAGCAAGCAGAAGATCAACGCCTAAAGCTCTTTATATCACCACCCTATGATGAAGCTGCTTCATGTACTTCTTTCCCATTTCCTACTTTCTTCGACTCCTTGCAAGATCAAACACCTGGGACTACTTTTACTTCTCTTGCTCATCATCAATCACAACTATATCATCACAAGGTAATTAAGAAACCAACGTACATAAATCAAATTATATATCTTCCACGTTTATTTTTTTATTGAATTTTTTTTTGTTATGGCTCTTGATCCTCCCTTAAGTGATTCTTCTCTCTTTGACATGTGCATATATAATGAAACTCGTATAATTTCCTGATACTTTGTGACCTGATGTTCTCATAATTAATTGATTTTGATGGGTTTTCTTACAAATTCATACTCCATATATAGCTACGTTTTATAACTAAGATTTGATCTTTTTATTGAAAACCCTTGATTTTCACTTGATTATCTCTAATTTCAAATTGTCTGATCTCAGGATAAGAACATTTGGGATTGTGGAACGAGTTACGATCAAGCATCCTCATCATCTTCTTTAGTTCAAGCTCATGTGGTGGACGCTATAAGCAACAAGGACCGTAGATTGTCCAGATGTGGTGATCATGAAAGAGAGACCAATATTGGAGGTGGGGGAGGAGGAGGAGGAGGAGAAGAGGAAGGTAAAAGTAGTAATTATATCAAAAGGCCAAAGTCAGTGAAGTGGATGTCCCCCAAGATGAGGTTGATGCAAAAGATGACCAGCAACAACCCTGATCTCCCACCTGGTACCACTGATCATATAGCAGCTGAGATTTCTGAGCATAAATTCCAAATTCATGCTCAGCCTCGAGAAATTAGCGAAACCAGCTTTTCCAGTAATAGCAACAACACTGCAGCTGTTAGGGTTTGTTCTGATTGTCACACCAACTCAACCCCACTTTGGAGGAGTGGCCCTCTCGGTCCCAAGGTAAATATCTACATATATTTACCGTGAATATGAACCACACATTTACACAATAATTAACATGTTCCAAATTGAACAATATAAGCTTATGTTTATAAGCTAAATACATGTTCTTAAACTTAAGGTATATTTTGTGTATTTATGTGTTTGGTGCAGTCACTGTGCAATGCATGTGGCATTCGGCAGAGGAAAGCGAGACGAGCCATGTCAGAGGCTGCGGCTGCGGCTGCAAACGGGTTTGCTGTCGGCAGCGCCGACACTTCATCTCCAAAGGGTAAGGTGGCCAAGGAGAAGAAATCGCGGGGCAGCCATAAGAACAAGAACAGCAAACTCATCATCACCGACAATGCATCAATATCTCACTATAACAAAAAGAATAATAATAACAAGAAGAAGATTTGTTTCAAGGCTTTGGATTTTCAACGAGTGTTTCCTCAGGATGTTGCTGAAGCTGCAATGCTCCTAATGGAACTCTCTTGTGGCCTAATCAATAATCACTCTTGATCTTGAGCTTTGTCATAATTATTTCCATTACACCATTTTTGTTTTTACCTCATCTTTCTAATTAGGAGGATTTCTTTTTATTTTTGCATTTTCCATTTTTGATGTGGTTTTGGTTGCTAGTTTAGCTTGAATTAATAAAATCCAAAGGGTTCCTTGATTTTTAGAAACTGTAACTGTAATTTATTATATTTTTATTTATTGTTACACAAAATTTGATTGAGATAACTTGGGCCCATGAATGACAAGTTATATATATAGTGAAGAGGCTATTTGAGGAGGCCAATTATACCATCAAACATTTAAAATATTTGCCTCTCGTGATTTCTTTACATTTGTTAATGGTGATATTGGCATCCTCAAATAGCCTCCTCACTTTAAACTCCTCATTGTAGCCTCTCCCGGTTATGGAACTCTCAACTGAGCCTACATTTTGATAATGACCTCCTTTCATATCTTTCTTTGCAGATATTTAATAATTATATCTTGAATGTCCTTCTTGTAATTTTCATATTAAATTCATATATAATTATGATCACAAAAACAAAATAAGATTTAAAAAAAATTCCTAAATTATTCTTTTAGATCCAATGGATTACATTTTGAATAACTGTATAACTTACTTTGACTATCATAAATATTGACATTTTAATTTTTAATTAGATTTAAATTGGTATAATGTTTTTACCATATCTGAAAAATAAAATTCCTGTTTTGGCAAATACGGTAGCTGGTTTTTTATTTATAATAAAGCGAAAGTCTAAACTATAGAGATGTGAGTTTCTCTCACACACACACACACTATTTCGGTGTTATGGGAGTTTGTATATGAAATCACTAGTTACTTCCTTATTTGTTTCCCCCTTTTATAGCTTCTACCATAAATGAGAAAATTCATTGAAACATATTTATGGGGCCAGTCTTTGAGTTATCACATTCAAATGCAAATGAAAAGTTTTCCTTTTTTATCTTTGGGTCAAATTTAGGATGGAATTCCACACATTCCATCTAATCTACTGTCAAAACACAGTGCCTTTCATTGTAGATTCCCACTTCCCACTCCCAAGGGGTAAAAGGCAGACCAAGTCATAGTCTCCTAGATACATCATCAGATCAGCATTTCCTAACAATAGCGAAAAGATGTGGTCAGATCACAACCGTCCATTCTGCAATCACCCCTCATAACTTGACAATCCTATGGCCATGATTTTTTCAGACTATAAACAGTGAAAATCATTAGAAGCATCTACCACCACAAGAACAACATCAGACCGACTAGAGTTTAAACGTACAATGTCATTTCGTCAGCCACAAGACATATTTTCTCCTCTCAAGGATGATCCCCTGCTTTTCCCAAAATTACCACACCAACCCCCAACTCCACCAGATACAGAGGGCCCCACCAAAAGGAAATCCGGCGAATCACAAAATTAGAATTGGTTGGGAGACTATCTGGTATCCACCCAAATTTCCGTAACCACAAATGTGATAATTCTATGTGTTATCTGGTGCAAACCGTCATTTATGATTTGGATCTGATTTAGTGAGTGAATTGCATTGCTTCGTAAGTCATAACCTAACCCTAGACTAATTTTTCTTTTTTGTTCTTATCGCCTTTGAGGTGAGGCGCGGAGATAAGCATACTGTGATAGAGAATCTGCCAACAAATTACACAAGATTCTTAGATTTTCACTTCAGATTTAACAGATATTCAAAAACTCTTTGGTACATGTTTTTTCTCTGGTTGTATAAAATTTGGAAACCATTCAGATCCATTGAAACTCAATCTTCTTTGCTTCAATACCTTCCATACATTCATGATTTCTGAACAAAAATTTGTAAATTTTTGTGGGTTTTGACACCCGACAAACAAAACTTGTCTTTTTCTCAATAGGTGCGCAGTCACCCACCACCCACCCCCGCTACCAGATCCTGAACTCCCATCATATTTTCTAAATTTTTATATAAATTATTAAAATTATTATACTCATATATTTATATATAGACAAAACCTCCACTTATCAAAACAAACCCACCAGCCCAACTGGGTTCACTCCCTCCAGTGGAATAACCAAAAAAAAAGCAAGCACCTTTGGAAAGAAAAAAAAAACCATATATTTGTTTCCAAGTTTTTTCAACAACCCAATTTGCTTTTCCTCTGTTTTTGCTTTCTGTGTTTTTGTTGCAAAAACAGAGTCTTTTGCTCTCATGGAACGTGCAAGGCGGCTGGCTAACCGGGCCTTCGTGAAGCGCTTGGTTTCAGATGCCAAGCAGTTTCGCCAGAATGAGACTGTGTTCAGCTCTTCAACATCCCCTGTCTTGTACACGCCTTCAAGGTACGTTTCTTCATTGTCTCCATGCTCTTTCATGCGCACAAGTAGCAGATCAGATTCATTAGCAGGCAAAAATGTGTCACATAATGTTGGTTATCGCACTGGGACACAAACAAGGTCGATTTCTGTTGATGCATTGAAAAACAGTGACACTTTTCCTCGCCGCCATAACTCAGCCACCCCAGATGAACAAACCAAAATGGCTGAGTTATGTGGGTTTGGTAGTCTTGATTCACTTATCGATGCCACCGTGCCCAAATCGATTCGACTCGAATCGATGAAGTTTACCAAGTTTGATGAAGGGTTAACTGAAAGCCAAATGCTTGAGCATATGCAGTATTTGGCTTCCAAGAATAAGATTTTCAAGTCTTTTATTGGGATGGGGTATTATAACACTTATGTCCCTCCTGTGATTTTGAGGAACATAATGGAAAACCCAGCTTGGTATACCCAGTACACTCCTTACCAGGCTGAGATTTCCCAAGGGAGGCTTGAGTCTTTGCTCAATTTCCAGACCCTGATCACTGACCTCACTGGCCTTCCCATGTCAAATGCTTCATTGCTTGATGAAGGAACCGCCGCTGCCGAGGCAATGGCGATGTGTAACAACATTCAAAAAGGGAAGAAGAAGACCTTTGTTATTGCTAACAACTGCCACCCCCAGACCATTGATATTTGTAAGACTAGAGCAGATGGTTTTGATCTTAAAGTTGTGACTGCGGATCTTAAGGATATTGATTACAAATCGGGTGATGTTTGTGGTGTTCTTGTTCAGTATCCGGGGACTGAGGGTGAGGTTTTGGATTATGGGGAGTTTATTAAGAATGCTCATGCTAATGGGGTTAAGGTTGTGATGGCAACTGATCTCTTAGCATTGACACTGTTGAAGCCTCCTGGTGAATTTGGGGCAGATATTGTTGTTGGCTCTGCACAGAGGTTTGGTGTTCCAATGGGTTATGGAGGTCCTCATGCAGCATTCCTGGCCACCTCCCAAGAGTACAAGAGGATGATGCCGGGAAGAATTATTGGTGTTAGTGTTGATTCTTCAGGGAAGCCTGCGCTGCGTATGGCGATGCAGACAAGGGAGCAACATATCAGGAGGGACAAGGCTACCAGCAACATTTGCACTGCTCAGGTTCGATACTATTCTTCATTTGATTTCTTTTATGATTTACTTTTTAGGGCTGAACTGATTTATGTTTTTTTAATATTAAATATCAAAGGATAGAATTATTGACATGATTTCCTTAGCTTGGATAACCCAAAAACAGGGAATTACTGAGCAGACCCCCTCATGTATTTCAATTTGATTTACTTGGCTTTGTTTGATTGGATATTGTGTTTATGTAGGCACTACTTGCAAACATGGCTGCCATGTATGCTGTTTATCATGGACCTGAAGGCCTTAAAACCATATCCCAAAGGGTTCATGGTCTTGCTGGGGCATTTGCAGTTGGATTGAAGAAACTTGGGACAGTGGAAGTTCAGGGCCTTCCCTTCTTTGACACTGTGAAGGTTAAGACTTCTGATGCACATGCCATTGCTGATGCTGCAATCAAGCATGGAATAAATTTGCGAGTAGTAGACACGAACACTGTAAGTTTGTTTGTATCTCCTGCGTCAATTATTCAACTAAAAGCTCTCTAGGGAGAGAGGAGGGAGTATATTGCTCTACTTTATCAGATTACTGAAGGATAACTCCTTGCAGATTACTGCTTCGTTCGATGAAACAACTACCTTGGAGGATGTTGATAAGCTTTTCAAAGTTTTTGCTTTGGGCAAGCCTGTGAGTATTTTCATGTCTTTATCATAAAGGTGATAGTTGAAATTGTTTATAAGTTGCATCCATCTAAGTGAGAATTTTGTTTGATTTTCAGGTTCCTTTCACTGCTGCATCTCTTGCACCAGAAGTTCAGCCTGCAATTCCTTCTGGGCTAACTAGGGAGAGCCCATATCTTACCCATCCAATCTTCAACTCGTATATCTCTTTCCTGATGATTTGAACTCTCACATTCTGCTATTTGGAAACTAGACTGACTTTCATTTGCTCTCTATTAGGTATCATACGGAGCACGAGTTGCTCAGATACATTCATAAGTTGCAATCAAAGGATCTCTCGCTATGCCACAGTATGATTCCATTGGGATCTTGCACAATGAAATTGAACGCAACAACTGAAATGATGCCAGTGACATGGCCTAGTTTTACTGACATTCACCCTTTCGCCCCTGCAGAACAGGCTGCGGGTTATCAGGTAGTTACAAATGTTTACTTACGAACAAATTTAACACAGTGGCAAATGTTTTTTTTCCTGAATTTCTTTTTATATGTTGCTTTCCTTCATACAACTAGTAACTTGATAGTGTTTGTTGTCAAATAATAAAATCCAGGAAATGTTCGAAGATTTGGGTGACCTATTGTGTACCCTCACTGGGTTTGACTCTTTTTCGTTGCAACCTAATGCTGGAGCTGCTGGAGAGTATGCTGGGCTGATGGTTATTCGGGCATATCATTTTGTATGGGGACCCTGAGCTTTTCTTGTTTCCCTCTTTCTAATATTTCTTAGCAAGCACTTTTCTGTAGAGCTTAAAAGAAAAACTTTAACTTAAGGTCTTCGAGGTTATGACCTAAAGGTTTATTCTTGTTACTAATAGAGGGGATCACCACCGCAATGTGTGCATTATACCTGTTTCGGCACACGGTACCAATCCTGCTAGTGCTGCAATGTGTGGAATG